ATCTATCTATCTATCTATCTATCTATCTATCTATCTGTATACCTCTCTGTCTGTCTGTCTGTCTGTCTGTTTGCGTAACATGTCAGGACGCTGAAATGCTTGTGGTGAGGCTCAGCTAATCACTCTACAGCAGCATAAAAAAAACCAAAAAACTGAAATATAATAAAAATACATAAAATATACAGAGACAGGAGGGACCTGTGTAAAAAACTCCTACTATGTACAAATATATTAGACGAAGGATAATCTGAGAGAGGGAATATATACATATTTTAGAGTGTTATTGTCCATAGCACTGATATAATAATAATACTAACAAAGTGACTGAGTGAACTGGTAATGGGGGAAGGACTCACAGCTTCACAGCTTGGTCAGAAGCCTGACAGCCTGTGGGTAGAAACTGTTCATTAGCTGGGTTGTTCTAGCCTGGATGCGCCTGCTGATGGCCGAAGGGTGAACAGGCCGTGTGCTGGGTGATTACTGTCTAACCAGATCTTTTGGATTTTCCACAGACAACGAGACTGATAGATGTCCTGTAAGCAGTGGCGTCTCTGGCACAGAAAGCCTGTAGGGGCAGCAGCCGACTCTATAGTGAAACTACACACAAACCTGATCCAAACACAAACGCACTCCGTCAACGAAATCACAGATTCACAAATGAACGTACCGTAGTGCAGGAGTTAGTGAAAGGGGAGAACATGAGCGATATGATAACGACATCTCACAAATCCTGGTTATACAGCATCTCATTATACACTACATTGCCAAAAGTATTGGCTCGTCGGCCTTCACACGCATATGAACTTGAGTGACATCCCATTCTTAATCCATAGGGTTTAATATGATGTCGGCTCACCCTTTGCAGCTATAACAGCTTCAACTCTTCTGGGAAGGCTTTCCTCAAGGGTTAGGAGTGTTTATGGGAATTTTCGACCATTCTTCCAGAAACGCATTTGTGAGGTCAGACACTGATGTTGGATGAGAGGGCCTGGCTCACAGTCTCCGTTCTAATTCATCCCAAAGGTGTCCTATGGGGTTGAGGTCAGGACTCTGTGTAGGCCAGTCAAGTTCTTCCACACCAAACTCGCTCATCGTCTTTATGGACCATGCTCTGTGCACGGGTGCGCAGTCATGTTGGAACAGGAAGGGGCCGTCCCCAAACTGTTCCCACAAAGTTGGGAGCATGAAATTGTCCAAAATCTCTTGGTGCACAAAATATATACACAAATAATCACCAAACCACCAGAGAACCTACACATTACATATCTCAGTCATCAGGCAGTGAATTCATAACCATTTCATGTAATAACTTTCTGAGGGAGCTTTTAGAGATGGACGTCTGGTTCCTATCACCACCACTGTGAACAGTTCTGACTCAGTAAGTTTCTCTAGAACGGAACGTTTCACACCAAACCACTCTGAACGACTCTGTTTATATCTTAACCAGTTAATTATGCAGAAAAATCCATGGAATTCCCCCTCAAGCTGAGCTCACTTTTCACTTTTTACAGTGTACCTGTCTGTATTTGTATCACTGTCATTTAAACCGGCGCTACAACAGCTCCATTACGTTTCCTCTTCCTCTTGCAGACATCATGCAGGCCCCCTCCTCTCTTTTCTTCTCCAAGCATCCTGTATACAGAGATGAGCAAAAGGGAGCTACTTAGTTGGTAGCTGCTCCCCCTGGAGTCGCCTTTACCTCTGAAGTCATGCGTCATTCTGTAGACGGTGTCAGTCTGTATTAGTTACTCCAGGTCTTTTCCCTTTTTGAGAAATGCTGCTAATCTCATGCTGTGGTAAAAAAAAAGTGTGGTAGTTAATTGCCCTTCACAGTCTTAGGTTGCAGTTTGAGTGGCTGGTGTTGATATTATATATATATATATATATACCAGTCAGGCATAACATTATGACCACCTCCTTGTTTCTACGCTCATTGTCCATTTTATCAGCTCCACTTACTATATAGGTGCACTTTGTAGTTCTACAGTTACAGACTGTAGTCCATCTGTTTCTCTGATACTTTGTTAGCCCCCTTTTACCCTGTTCTTCAGTTGTCAGGACCCCCATGGACCCTCACAGAGCAGGTACTATTTGGGTGGTGGATCATTCTCAGCACTGCAGTAACACTGACGTGGTGGTGGTGTCTTAGTGTGTGTTGCGCTGGTACGAGTGGATCAGACACAGCAGTGTTGCTGGAGTTTTTAAACACTGTGTCCACTCACTGTCCACTCTATTAGACACTCCTACCTTGTCAGTCCACCTTGTAGATGTAAAGTCAGAGAGGATAGCTCATCTGCTGCTGCACAGTTTGTGTTGGTCATCCTCTAGTCCTTCATCAGTGGTCACAGGACGCTGTTGGCTGGATGTTTTTGGTTGGTGGACTATTCTCAGTCCAGCAGTGACACTGAGGAGTTTAAAAACTCCAGCAGCACTGCTGTGTCTGATCCACTCAGACCAGCGCAACACACACTAACACACCACCACCACGTCAGTGTCACTGCTGGACTGAGAATAGTCCACCACCCAAATAGTACCTGCTCTGTGAGGGTCCATGGGGGTCCTGACCACTGAAGAACAGGGTAAAAGGGGGCTAACAAAGTATCAGAGAAACAGATGGACTACAGTCTGTAACTGTAGAACTACAAAGTGCACCTATATAGTAAGTGGAGCTGATAAAATGGACAATGAGCGTAGAAACAAGGAGGTGGTCATAATGTTATGACTGATCTGTGTATATATATATATATATACACACACACACATAAGAGTAAACAGCATTTTCTGCTGCTTGTGCATAAAAAAATGTACCCAGTGATTCTTTCTCTCTCTACTGAATCCACTTTGCCTCCTCGCCCAACTGAACCAATGAAGAGCAGGATGTGCAATTTAAATAATCACAATGCTCTCTGGCAATAAAGCATTGACCAGCGACACACACGCGCACCAGTTCCAAGAACGTAGTAAATAGTGTGTTATTCACTCTGACACGCGCACAGAAAGAGAGAGAGAGTGAGTGTGTGTGGGGTGGGGGGGTGTGGGGGGCAGTGAGAGAGAGAGTTCTGTATATATACAGACATTGAGTCTAGATGGTCTATCAGCTCGTCACTCACAGTCTGAGGAGCAGCAGTGGGTGGAGAAGCTTCAGCAGCAGAATGAGGATCCAGGCGCTCATCCTGTTCATCTCAGCCATGACTGCTCAGCAGGCAACGTCAGGAGCCCCCAGCACAGACGCGGCACTGTCCGAGCCCCTCAGCTCTCCAGGTAAACCCGCACATCCAGAATGAGCCTGATAGAGGAAGCTCAGATCTTTATTATACCTGCGCTAAAACCACACTCTTAAAAAGGATGGTTCTTCTAGGGTTCTTTAGTAGTGAGCATGGTTCTGTATAGAACCACGAACACTTATGCTTAAATGGTTCTTTGCATGGTGAAATGATTGTTTAACTTGTTGTAGAGTGTGCTGTATGTGGTTCTAAGTTGCACCAAAAAGGGTTGTTCCACTGTTAGGACGTCAAGCTTGTAACAATGGAAGAACCCTTTTTGGTGCTATACAGAACCATTTGCATGCTTAAATGTTCTTTGCATGGTGAAGCAGTTCTTCAGATTCCATATAGTTCTGTACAACACATTGTCCATCAACCTGAAGAACCATTTCACCATGCAAAGAACATTTAAGCATGCAAATGGTACTATTTAGCACCAAAAAGGGTTCTTCTATTGTTATAAGCTTGACATCGTAACAATAGCAGAACCCTTTTTGGTGCCATATAGAGTGATTTGCATGCTTAAATGTTCTTTGCATGATGAAATGGTTCTTTAGATTGATGGAGAATGTGGTGCACAGAACTATATGGAACCTTTTTAAAAATGTTTCCATGTAAACCAAAAAGAGTTCCTCTCTTGCTATAAGCTTCACTCTATAGCACAGAAGAACCCTTCTGTATATGGTTCTATAAAGAACCTTTATAAAAATGGTTCTATAAAGCCACAAAAAGGGTTCTGCTATTGTTACGATGTCAAGCTTTTAACAATAGAGGAGCCCTTTTTGGTGCCATATAGAACCATTTTCATAAAGGTTCTGCATAGAACCATATAAAACATCAATCTGGAGAAGCTTTTCACCATGCAAAGAACGTTTAAGCATGCAAATGGTTCTATACAGCACCTTCTTTTATTGTTATAAGCTTGACATTGTAAAAATAGCAGAACCCCTTTTTCGGTGCTATATAGGATGAATTACATGCTTTATTGTTCTTTGCATGATGAAATGGTTCTTCAGATTGATGGAGAATCTGTTGTATACAGAACTAAATGGGACCTTTTTGAAAATTGTTCTGTGTGGTACCAAAAAGAGTTCCTCTTTTGCTACAAGCTTGACTCTATAACACAGAAGAACCCTTCTGTATATGGTTCTATAAAGAACCTTTATAAAAACGGTTCTATAAAGTACACAAAAAGGGTTCTGCTATTGTTACAATGTCAAGCTTATAACCATAGAGGAGCCCTTTTTGGTGCTATATAGAACCATTTTCATAAAGGTTCTGTATAGAACCATATAAAACATCAATCTGGAGAACCTTTTCACCAAGAAATAAAGCGTTTAAGCATGCAAATGGTTCTCTGAGTGTTGTGGTTCTATAATGAACCACTGTCTTTACCAAAGAACCTCTGAAGAACCATCTTTTTTTAAGAGTGCAGTGTTATTGGCTGTTGCAGGTGACTTTGCGCCCTCCAGACTCAGAGGACGTCCCACGGTGGAGCAGCGGGACGCCGATGAGCCAGAAGACGCCAGCCTGTGCTTCTTTTTGAAGGAGAAGGACGTGGAGAGCCAGGTCTCCTGCAAGCATCGACTGAACCTGCGCAGCAAATTCAACTACAACCCGTTCGGGCTGCGCTTTGGGAAGCGCGGAGGACACTCGAAGCCGCCCAGCGAGAGGTGGAGGAGAGGGAGGCTGCTGCCTGTCCTGCTTTCAGTCAGACAGCTGGAGGAGGCTTCATGAACACTTCAGTCATTTAAGCGAGAAAAGCCTTTTTCGGCAAAGGGATTGATGTGCTGGGTCATTCTACCATTGCAGTGGCGGTACGAATGTTGCTGTATCTCAACTGTATTGCCTGGTCTGTTTTATGTAACATCAGTAAAGTTACACCACTGACATCACTATTAAAATCTGAGCTTTTCTAAAATATGGTGACCTGCCACTGTAGTTTTAATGTCACATTGTATGTAGAAATGAACAAATATTGCATGTTATCATGGTATTTTATTTCAATTTTAAAGTTACCTAATGTTTTAAGAGTAACACCACTGACGATTTCTAAAATCTGAGCTTTTCTAAAATAAAATGCACTACCACTCATGTACAAGTATTGTACACATATGCAAATGCACAGCTGTACAAATATTGCATTCATGTTGGTATTTTATTTCAATTTAAAATCACAGTGTTTCGAGAGTAACACCACTGACAACTTCTAACATCCGAGCTTTTCTAAAATACAGTCAACTGCCACTTTAGTTTTCAGTCAGAACGTACAAAATACAAATATTGCATTTATGTTATTTTATTTCAATTTTAAAATCACCTAATGTTACAAGAGTAACACCACTGACGGTTTCTGTACAAATATTGCATTCATGTTGGTATTTTATTTCAATTTTAAAACCACTGAGTGTTCAATGAGTAACACCACTGACAAAATCTATAACAACCTCAGCTTTTCTAAAATATAATGAACTGAAATGCTGTTCACATTGTATATGGAAATGTACAAACATTGCATTGTCATTTTAGTAAGATTTTAACATCACTTTTCAAGGTTTCATGAGTTACGCCACTGACAAAATTAAAAAAATCTGAGCTTTTCTAAAATATAGGGCACTCTCATTTCTGTACAAGTATTGTCATATAATATGCAAATGCACAAGTGTACAAATATTGTATTCATGTTGGTCTTTTATTTCAATTTTTAAAATCAATCAAATCTTAAAATTTACAGTAACACCACTGACAAAATTTCTAAAAAAATCAGCTTTTCTGAAATACAGTGAACTGCTGCTCTAGTTTTAATGTCACATTGAATATGGAAATGTACAAACTTTGCATTAAAGTCATTTTAGTAGGATTTTAACATCACTTAATGTTTCATGAGTTACACCACTGAGCTTTTCTAAAACATAGTCAACTGCAACTGTAGTTTTAATGTCACACTGTATGTAGAAATGTACAAATATTGCATGTTATCATGGTATTTTATTTCAAGCTTAAAATCACATAATGTATTAAGAGTAACACCACTGATGATTTCTAAAAGCTGAGCTTTTCTAAAATAAACACGCTACCACTCGTGCAAGTATTGTGCAAATATGCCAATGCACCACTGTACAAATATTGCATTCATGTTGGTATTTTATTTCAATTTTAAAACCACTCAAAGTTTAGAGTAACAACACTGACAAATTTTTTTACGATCTCAGCATTTCAAAAATATAGTGAACTGCAATGCTGTTCACATTGTATATGGAAATGTAAACATTGTATAGATGTCATTTCAGTAATATTTTAACATCACTTTTCAACGTTTCTAAAAAACATGAGCTTTTCTAAAATGTAGTCAACTGCCCCTTTAGTCTCAGTCACACTGGATGTACAAAAATACAAATATTGCATTCGTGTTATTTTATTTCATTATTAAAATCACTTAATATTCCAAGACTAACACCCCTGACAAAATTTCTAAAATCCAAGCTTTTCTAAAATATAGGGCACTCTCACTTATGTACAAGTATTATTGTATAATATGCAAATATACAACAGTACAAATATTGCATTCATGTTGGTATTTTTTTGCAATTTGAAAATCACTCAATATTCAAAGAGTAGCATCACTGACAAATTTCAAAATTTGTGAAACTTTCCTAAAATATGCTCCACTGCCACTGTAGTTGTGATGCTGCATTAATGTTATTTTATTAGGGTTTAAACATAACTCTATACTTCATGGTTACACCACTGACAAAATTTCTAAAATCTGAGCTTTTCTAAAATATAGTGCAAATATTGTACAAATATGCAAATGCACAAATGTTGCATTCATGTTGGTATTTTATTTCAATTTTAGTACCACTTAATGTTTCATAAACAACAGAAAAAGGCACTACATACATTACACTTAGTTTTATTATAATTATTATTAACATCACTGACAAAATGACTCAAATCTTAGTTTTTCTAAAAAACTACTTTAGTCTCAGTCACATTGTATATAAAAAATCAAACTGTATTCATGTCATTTTGGCCCAATCCTATTTCTTATTTTTACCCCTACCCCTTGTTTTCGAGTGTGACTCCAACCCCTTGGAGCTGAGTTACAGGGTAGTGGTTGAAATCTTCCCTCTGAAATGAGACCCTCAAATAAAAAGAGCATCACTTCATTAACAGCTACCAGCGCTGCTCTGTAGGCGACCCTGCCAGTCTGCAGTGACAGCAGAGGAGGGTAAAGTTCAGCTCCTCACTGCTGGGCTTTAGTTACATTTAGGGCATCATATGACTTCAAAGAGGGGGGCAATTATTTATTATCGCCCACCCCTAATTCTTCAGTGATATGAAGCTGAAGTCAGATATTCACCAGCTTCTTGTTCAAATATTCCAGTTCCACCTTAAATGGAGCAGCAGTTACATTCTGGCGCTTCAGGCGTCAGAACTGCTGGACTATTTGAGGTGGAACTATTAGCGATTTTTTATACGTGATGAATAAAAGAATCATAATACACTGAAACGACATTAAACTAAGATAATACAGTGATTATCGTGACTTTTAACAGAGAAAATTCTCACATTTGTGTGTTTCTTTGGTCTCTTGTTCAGCCATCTTGCTGGTTTTTCTTTTTTTTCTCATAACTCTCTGATTGGAGTCTCTGAAAAACCTCTGTTTGGAGGGTCATGTAGCCCCAACACTTCACCCTCCCCCTCTATCTAAACAAGAATCAGGACACCCTACACCTAGACATGATCGTGCAAAACAGAGGGCTAAGGGCTAAGCAGTAGGGGCGAGGGGTGAAATGGGATTGGGCCTTTATCTGTTTTAAAACCCTTAATGTTTGATGAGTAACACCTCTGACAAAACTTCAAAATTCTGAGCTTTTCTGAAGTCTAGTGCACTGGCACTTTAATCTGTCAGATTCTATGTATAAAAATACAAATGTTGCATTCATGATATTTTATTTCAATTCTAAAACATTTATTTCATGAGTCACACCGCTGACAAAACTGCTTCACTCAGTGTTTCAAACACCACTGAGAAAATTTCTAAAATCTGAGCTTTTCTAAAATAAAGTCCACATTAGTTTCAAAGCCACATTGTATGTAGAAAATTACAAATACAGCATTGATGTTTGTTTTTTCTTAAGCTTGTTAATGTTTCATGAGTAACAAAGGCACTGAAAACTTGAGAAAGGTGCTATAAAAATCAAACATTTATTATTATTATTATTATTATTATTATATTACAAAATGACTAAAATCTGAGCTCTTTGAAAATGTAGTCTAATGCCACTTATATACAAGTATTGTAAAGATGCACAAATGTACAAATATGGCATTCTTGTTATTTCAATTTTAAAATCACTCAGTGTTTCATGAGCAACACGACCGACATACTAAACTGCGAGCTTTTCTGAAATATAATCCACTGCTTTCACATTTTTTAATCTCAGTGTAGAAATAACTCAACTCAATAAAGTCAACACAGCTGACAGAATATTTTTGAGACATCTTTAGTGATTTCAGGCACTGTGGAGTCAGAGTTAGTCTTTCTTCCTTCAATAAGACCTTCCTGTTCTAAATGACACTACAGTCTCTGTAACGTCACTGACAAAAACACATCAGCAAAGTTACACCGATCAGGCATGACATTCTGACCACCTCCTTGTTTCTACGCTCATTGTCCATTTTATCAGCTCCACTTACTATATAGGTGCACTTTGTAGTTCTACAGTTACAGACTGTAGTCCATCTGTTTCTCTGATACTTTGTTAGCCCCCTTTTACCCTGTTCTTCAGTGGTCAGGACCCCAGTGGACCCTCACAGAGCAGGTACTATTTGGGTGGTGGGTCATTCTCAGCACTGCAGTAACACTGACGTGGTGGTGGTGTGTTAGTGTGTGTTGTGCTGGTCTGAGTGGATCAGACACAGCAGTGCTTTTAAACACTGTGTCCACTCACTGTCCAATCTATTAGACACTCCTACCTTGTCAGTCCACCTTGTAGATGTAAAGTCAGAGACGATAGCTCATCTGCTGCTGCACAGTTTGTGTTGGTCATCCTCTAGTCCTTCATCAGTGGTCACAGGACGCTGCCCACAGGACGCTGTCGGCTGGATGTTTTTGGTTGGTGGACTATTCTCAGTCCAGCAGTGACACTGAGGTGTTTAAAAACTCCAGCAGCACTGCTGTGTCTGATCCACTCAGACCAGCACAACACACACTAACACTGCAGTGCTGAGAATGATCCACCACCCAAATAGTACCTGCTCTGTGAGGGTCTATGGGGGTCCTGACCACTGAAGAACAGGGTAAAAGGGGGCTAACAAAGTATCAGAGAAACAGATGGACTACAGTCTGTAACTGTAGAACTACAAAGTGCACCTATATAGTAAGTGGAGCTGATAAAATGGACAATGAGCGCAGAAACAAGGAGGTGGTCAGAATGTTATGCCTGATCGGTGTACATTTTAAATAGAACAGTCATTTTAGTGCATTTATAACAAACTGATAAATAAAAATAATGCCTCAGTGTCTGTGAAGTCACTGCTGTTTTTCAAGCACGTGAATAAAAAATCATTTAAATATAAAATCCAAAAGAAAGATTGTCATAATATTCTGAATAGAACAGAATAGAATTTGTGTTTTATTCTAATTTTGAGCTCATGTTTATGGCTTTGGAGTTGTGGGACACTGTTTGCCACCACAAGGGTAGAATGACCCACTGTGAACCGTGATCTGT